CTCTGTTCATCTAATATTCCTCTCTATTTATCGCGTTATCTTCTCTTTTTCTCCCTTTCGTCTCCCAATTGTTCGCTGTCTTTTCTGCGAGAGACGACGTTCTTTATCTCTTGCGTTCGGTCGTACCCCTTTGGCTGTACGGCTGTTCGTCATCTTTTAAATTGTGTTCGGAGGTGCTCTCTTCTTCTTCTTCATCTACTCCTCCTTTTTCTCTTTTTCCTCTTCCTCCTCCTCCTTCTTCTCCTCCTTTCTCCTTCTTTCTCTCTTCCTCCTCCTCCTCAGATTCTTCTCTCTCTTCTTCTTTTACGACATCGTCTTCATCTACTCTTCCTCCGCGCTAGGACGCGCTCCTCTTCGCTTGCGCGAGTTGGTGAACGTCATCGGACTACCGAAAATAAAGTCTTCCTCCGCTACCCTGCGCTCTCGTCTCGTGTCTCGTCCCCTCTCTTCTCGCACCACTTCCGAGTCGAATATACGCGCGAGCGAAGAGGCTTTATAAGTGCGAGCGCGAGAGGGACGCGAGTAGGAGCACGCACCGCAAAGGAACTCTATCTCCTTTTTCTCGTTTCCCTCTTTCTCTCTCTCTCACTTTCTCTCTCTCTCTTTCTCTTCTCACTCGCTCTCTCTTTCTCTCTGCTGTTGTCTGTCTCGAGAGCTGCCAATCAAACGGTCTGCCATGAGAGTCGGCCTCTTAAACGGATAGTTTTTCACGCTCACCGCGTGACAGATTAATCCCGGGCTAAATGGTGACACTTAAGAGCGCCGCGCACCGTAATTAACGCTGCAGCACCGCTCACCTTCTTCCTTTTGCACTTTTCCGCGTGAGCTCTCACGTTCTCGAATCTACCCAGTGAATTCGAGCCATTCGTCGTCGCGATGATGATCTATCGTAATTTGTCGACCAGCTGTGTGATTATCGCTATGAATAAAGCATGTATTTTTGTACAACTGATAATTATACAAATAAACATTTTTTCTCTATTAATTGTGGTGAAAAACAGTCAAAAAACTGACCAGTACAACTTCCACGAATGGAATCAATACTTGTACTTATTGCAAAAATAATTTTATGAGATAAACGTTTCAAGATAAATTTTTTGTTTTTGATGATAGTACAGAATGCCGTGCTATAAGAATGTTTGGGATAATTATCAGGCAACTCTACAATTTGATCTAAATTCTATAAAAGCTTACTATACGCGCGCGCCCTGTGATTGTAACATTTCGTCGTCGTAAATAATAAATACGGTCGCTGTATAATTGGACACTGTTAACATGCATATTAAATGCCCTCGTATAACAAATGATTGTATATGATTTATTTCGGTAGATTATTTTTATGACTGATATTTGTTTTCCGTTGTGTCAATTTCTTCTCCTTTTCCAGCGAGATTGATTAATCAAACGTTGCTTTTTACGATCCTAGTTTCATCATTAAATGTGAATTGTTTCAAACACGCGGCAGCGCGTGCAAAAAATATACTACTTTATGCATATTTTATATATTCAAATGTGTTCCGCATGAAAAGTTTATTTTACTTGAATGTTATGTACATATGTTTATTTCGAGATATTCGTCAATATTGTGACGAGTCGTTTCACTTCATTGTACGTTTTATATAAAATAGGTTGTTATGTAAAAATAATGGGAAATATAATGTGAATAACATATAAATATAAGTCACCTTTATATGTCGTGCATATAGTCGCATACAACTTTCCAACAATCTGTTATTTTATTTATGTACTTGGCGTTGCGGTGTGTATCTATCGTGTCAGTTGATTATAATTATATTGTAATTATATTGTAATTATATTGCAATATGTAATTCACAATAAATAAAATATGACATAAACACTTTATGTGTATCGAGTTATATATGATTGTAATATACAAAGTAAGTGACTTAACGTTAAATTCTACAATATCTCTGTTTTTTTCCATATTAGAGAAAAATGTATATGAAATGAATTATGTGGTTGAAAAGAATAAATATTGTGATCAGTCAACTCTTTCGACCGCACAATTTAGAAAGAAAGAGAGAGAGGGAGAGAGGGAGAGAGAGAGAGAGAGAGAGAGAGAGAGAGAGTTTTTATACAATTTTCTTTAATATAGAAAATAACAGAGATATTTTAGATAAAAAATACTTATCTAATATTAAGTAATTCAACGAGTGTGATTCAATATATTGCATTATTATCGTATAAATATTAGTACTATATTACTGTATTGTGATATATAAATCAATATTATAATATATTTTAATACAATTGTAATATATATAACTCAATAAATATTTTCTTATTATATAATGAGAGATTCACACGTTTTATTATTATTCCTTCCTAATTAATATTTGCAGTAAAAAATTTCTATTTTTTGATAACTCGTATTACTTGCTCGAAGAAAATTTTTAACGGTCCGATTTGTCATTGACTTATACTACTTGTTTTCAAGGGAAAATTTTCATTGTCAAATTTATCGTTAACTTATACAATTAAGTCAAAGAACAATTTTTTAAACATCTTACTTACCATTAACTAATAATATTTGATCGAGGAAAATATTTAAACCGTCTGACTTATTGTTAATCTGTGCTACTTACTCTAGGAAAAATTTTTCGGCTACTTGATTTACTGCAATACTTGCCTCCGGAAAAATTTTCAGTCGTCTGACTAATCGTTGACTTGTACTACTTAAACGAAAAAAGTCGTCTGAATAGTACAAGTCAACAATAAAAAATAATGTAAGAAGGAGCGAATATTGTAATTGCAAAACTTGAGATTCTTATGTAGAAAGATATACTAAAAATGTATTTGTACCAATTGCTGTACGATAAAATGATAATATCAAATTATTAACAAAAACTCTTATCACTCGAAACGAAAACTTAATTTAAGTTAAGGAAAATTAAAGAAATAGCTTCTCGAAAGTGGCAACATCGAGAAGGAAAGTGAAGAATTAAGTCCTTCTATCAGCAGTTTATTGCATAAACTGTTATATTAGGGCATTGCAATTTATAAGAATATTGGGAGATATACAGATGCATTCAAGGAACACTACAAACGAAGATTTTGGTTATGTGTAGTACTTCTCGTAGTTGCATTCCAATAATCAATATGAGGAAAAATTAGACTTAGGCGATGTTTTAAAATAAGACATACTATACTTTTGCAGAAGCTGATAAAATAAAGCGTATTTTTCTTACTACCTTAATTATTTCTGATATTATTACTACTTTTCTATTATTACTACCTTAATTATTACCTTAATTACATATATCTGATAGCATATTAGTAATGTAAATCCCAAAATAAGTGGCATGTGAAAATTACATAATGTAATGTTAGTAATAAATTCAAATCCAAAACACCATACAACACTACAACACGTCGTGCAGTCCCACAAACTACAGCCTGCGTTTTAATTAGATTAAACGTAGTTAATCTAATAAGTTTATTTTTAATCGTTCAATTTAAAACTTGTTCCATGTCTTCGTATTTCATAAGAAATATTATTGCATTATAAATACTATCAGTACTGCAAGCTAAATATAATAAAAATTATATTTAGCATGCAAAAGAAATTGTTGAAGATCAGATAAATATATCATGGCAATAGCAATGGTTCTAGAACAGAACCTTCGTTAGGTGAAGTGGTGATTATGATAAGATTGGAAAGATCTTAATCCTCCTCTGCATATTTTGTGTTGATTTTTTCTGCTTCTGAATATCGCAGTGTATGATGAATGGTCATTAGAATCAATCTCTCTGTTATTCATAACCTGACGATATGCAACTTCGGGATAAAGACTATTTTGAACACTGAAGTCAGTGACAATATCCTTCACATCATTAGCCGGCAATCTTTGAACATTCTTATTCGTTTCTAGAATACTGACAAGTGTGCAGCCAGCCTCAATAAAAGTCTCCTTGTTCGAGAAGCTGAGTTAATGTGCGATCTCCTGTCTGCTGACTAGAAGATTCTTTGCTGACTAGAAGAAGTTTAGCGACATCATCATTATGTCGATTTATCGAATGACATAAAGCATTAATTTTAGGAATTGACATAGTACCATCTAACTATCGATTTAATGTACTATTTGAATGTTCTTACAGAAAATCACGCTTAGATCTCGAGGTGTCATCTCTCGAATCTGTCTCAGAAATATCCAATCT